CAGCTGCCTTCCTTTGCTGTCAAAAAAGAATCTGGGGCCTCAAGAAAGACCAGGTGTCTCGGAAAGCAGGAGAGGCGGTGCCCTTGACCCTTGGCACTCCTTTAAACAGTTAATGACTTGGATAATTTGGGGCAAAACCAAAGGTTGGCATGACGTGTCACTTGCTGGGGCCGGCAGCTGGGGTGTGGGGTGAGTCACTGGGCGTCTCTCATTCCCCCAGAACCAGCAGTCAGGCCCGCAGAGAAAGCCAACGCCCGGATGCTGGGACTAACGCTAAGAAAGTGGCGATTCTTTGGCAGGAAGTGGAGTTATACCTCACGGTGTTTACATGTCTGGGATTTGCTGAGACCTCCATGTGTGTTCTCCCCTAATGCCAAGGGCCTCGTGCCCCCAGCCTCAAGGCAGGCAAGCGTTGGAGCAACAGCCCCTGCCTTGCAGGGCGGGTGTGGAGGAAATTGCACAGATCTGCTGGGCTTTCAGCAGGTGAAATTGTCAGGGTGGCCCTCCCTCAGCTGCTTCCGCCTGAGACCCTTGAGACCTGTTTTAGTCATCACCAGGGCCTTCCTCTCCCCCCACTTGAGGCCTCTTGGGCAGGTGAGAGGGAGCAGGTGCCCTGTCTCCATGGTGGGAAGTGACTCCAGCTAAAGCATTTCTGCACGTGGCATCATGGCCTCAAGCTGGAGCAACTTCCTGGGACCCTGTGACACCGTGGGCTGCCAGCAGCTGGGTAAACTGAGGCATCAAGCACATTCACATTTGGGATTTAACTAGTACAATCACCTACAGTTTTTATCTTAATCAGGAGAGTGGCAGCCTACTCCTTCTAAACTTCAGACACTCTGGCACAAAAAGGTCCAACAAGCCCGGGTGGTGTGCTCAGTGGTTGAGTGTTGACCCAGGAACCAAGAGGTCGCTGATTTGATTCCTGCTTAGGGCACATGCCCAGGGTGCAGGCTCAATTCCCAGTGGGTGGCATGCAGGAGGCAGCCGATCAATGATGTTCCTCTCTCATTGATGTTTCTATCTCTCTCTCTCTCCCTTCCTTTCTCTCTAAAAATCAATAAAACCTTTTTTTTTTTTAAAGAAAAGGTCCGACAGTTTCCTCATTAGCTTGTAGATCTATGTAGATCTATGACGCTAAACTGGAAATTCTGAGTGAAGCTGTAAGAGACAATAGGCATCTGATACCAAAGATACTGGGACAGAGCTATGCAAACAACGCATTCCCAGGGTGGGAACCCCTCCCCCACGCGGAGGCTGCACACTGGTGTGGACGAGGCCCCAGGAAGGCCGTTTCTAGAGAGAGAACTGGCAGCATGCCTTGCATCGATCCCTTCCTCCCGGAGAGGACAGAGGGCGGGGACAGAGTGGCTGGCCTCTCATCTTAAACCTAGAGAAAGGATATCAGGGGCCCACCCTGCAGGGCAGAAACTAGACGGAGGCTGGATTTTATACCTAAAGTCACCGCAGGACTTTTCATTCTTTAAAAATGAGCAGAAAAAGACACCAAGTTGCTTTCTGATGATATTTCCCCGAATCCGCTTGTTTGGCAGGCTGCTCAAACCTGGCAGCCCCCAAAAGGCCCTCGTTAACGCGCTTCCCGTCGTTCCACTGCCAACATCTTCCGGAGAAACAGGCAACGCTGGTGCTATTTCCCCTACTCGGCAGATGAGGAAACGGGTTCTGAGAAGGCCAAGGTCAGAGAGAAGCCGCAGCTATGTTGGCCCCTCTGGCTCGCTTTCCTCCTCTGATGCTCTTGCTCAGAGCTAAGCTCCAGACCATTTAGAACTCAGTTCCTATTGCTCACTCAGGGCACTGAAAGCAGGTGCAACAGGGTTAGGATTTTTGCCTCCCCCTCCTCTTCCAAGTACAGGGTGTCCCTACGAATGTATACACGCTGTCCCAGCTGCTAGCTCAATTTTGAAAATGAAATGTATTTTAATAAACACTGCCTTTACCATTATTCAAAGTGCGTGCGTCCATTTTTTGGGATGCCCTATGGATTGAGGTAAAATTCGGATCACCAGGAGGGAAAAAGCTACCCAGTGTTGAAAATATGTTCAATGTACACGAAGCAAGTTCTATAAACTGTCGAACATGTCACAGCCCTCGTTGTTCACACACTGGAAATGTTCATTAAGCTAGAAGTTAACTGCACACACAAGACCATGACAACCGTTCTTGATGAGACTTCCCATCCCCGTATCCAAACCCTTGGGCCTCCGGCCCCACCCGCGGTCACTGTTCTCCGGTTTTGTGTGGGCAAGTTCCCGCCAGGAACTCCTCATGTGGAGGAGATGCTACCGCTGGCTAAGGTGAGCGGGAGGCCGGTGCAGGATGAAGTCAGGATGGGCAGCCAAAGCCTCTTGCTCAGTGCCCGGACCATGGTGGCTGCCCAGCAAAGTGAGCTTCCCTTTGGGGGGCCAGTCCCCCTGGCTTCCAGTGGCTTCTGCCCACCCCACGAGAGATCCTATAAGAGAGTCCGCCCGGGACACACACTAATTGAGCCCCTGGTGTGGAGTCTATTTCAGAAGTCAGATAAGCAGTACCACCTGGTTGGACCTCTATGACCAAAGCCTTTCCTGGCCTCTGCGGGCTTGCTTTTCTCTGGCCCTGAAAGATTTGTTAGCCACTCCTATTCTCTTCCCACGACAAGACTGACAATGCAGGGTCATTGGTGGATAATATCAGGTCCAACCGGCTGTTTAAGAGATGGCAGTCACAGGAACGTGAGCTACTGCATGATCCTCTCAAGTTTGGCTTTGCTCTTGTATGCATATGTATGTGTGTGTGCGCGTGCGTGCGTGATTGTGTATGTGTATCCTCCATTCAGTGCATTTTTTCTGTGTACCCCGTACTATGCTAAGGACATTCTAGACACAATCTCATTTACTACTATTCCCAACTTGCAGAAGAGGAATCTGAGCCTCAGGGAATGTGTGTGATGTGCCTGATGTTACATAGCTAGTAGGCGAGGAGTGAGGCCTGCACTTAGATGTGTGAATTCCATAGGGGCACTGTCCGGAGGGCCAGACCACAGTCCTTCTGAAGCTGTCCTCCCTCTTCCACCCCCAGCCACCCCCTTACCCAGTGCCTTCATGTAGCCTTCAAAGTTGTCATTGATCTCCATCTCCCAGGTTCCATTCTGGTCCTTCGACATGGTGATGGCCTCTGGTTACCGTGGTGCGTGGTGCACGTCCAGGAGCAGGCTGCAGGGAGAGCGTTTTGAAATGAGTCACTTTTATAGCCTAATGGGTTGGGTTTATGGCTCTGAAGATAACAGGTTCAAAGGTGATAAGCACAGCCCAGAGGAACTTTCCTTTCCTTTTCAAAGTTCAGAAGGACTACAGGCAACCCATGGTCAAAGTCCTGGCCTGGGCCAGCATGGGTGTCCTGGTGACGGCCACATACACCTGGCCCTGGGCAGCTCATTTTTGGCTGGCTGGGCTCCCACAGAGTTCCTGGCCCCACACAGAACACTCCATTCAGCACCGGAAGAACACCAAGACCAAGTACCACCCCCACATGCACTACAGGCCACAGCCCCTAAGCCTCTAACTTGGAGTCTGTCAGCCACATAAGCACTGCCACTTCCGGTCTGGCTGATGAAGCCAAGAAGATGAGCACTCACACCTGTGGAGCTCCACTGTACTCTGTGCTGACCACTGTACTTTCTTTGTCTTGTTTTATCTTACACGAGCTCTGATTTATGTTTAGCTATCTCCATTTTACAGATGAGAACAGATCAAGGAGGTTAAATCACATGCCTAACAACAACTGGTAAGTGGCTGAGCTGGGATTCAGACCCAGGCCTGCCTGGCACCAGAGCTCTTTCTTTAGCGTGTGTGAAAGTCAGGTGGGAAGGGTCAGAGTTTGACTTGGGAGCCCAATTCTCACTTGCTTTCTTCCCCAAGGGCCTCTAAACAGCAGGGCCAATCAAAAAAGATATGTTCTACAAGAATGAATCTTCTGAAAGCAAGCAGATTAGGTTTATGGCTTAGGTTTGGGAGGGAGGCCAGATGGGGCAGTGGGACAGCTTCAAGACCCCAGGAGCAAGCTGAAGTTCACCTTGACAAACATGGGGGTGGGGCGCGGGCGGGGGGAGGCGGGCATACTGACATTTGGGTAAGTACTCTTGGTTCAGGGCTGTTCTTCAAACTGACTGTCCCAGTGGGTCAGAAAACAGATTGATTTATTGCTCTGCCACATGGTTCTGAGAGATGGGGTCTGATCAGGGGTCCCTACACTCTGAAAAAATGGAGGTGTAGGCTGAAGATGGGTAAACCAGGAGTACTCTAAAGCAAGGCCAAGTTTGATGGACACCCTGGGGCTCTAATGTATGTATTCTTATGCTGTGAAATCTAAGCAAATGGCTCTGTGTGTGGCTTGGGGGATGTCAAATAACACATTTGTTTTTCAGTAAATACACTGGAATCAGGAAGACACACAGTAAAAAGTGGCCCAGCTGCTGTTAAAAGGGGAAGAGGAGAATAAAGGACAACTTCTCCACAAATGGAGCATGAGTGATATCAGCAGAAGTGGACAGAGAGTGAAGCCTTGGGTTTCATTCATTGAGGCCCAACAGAGGGTGCTATAGACTGAGCACTCAGCCTTCTGGGTTGGGGAAGTAGGCATTCCCCTCCAGGTTCAGATTCAAGGGCCTCCACACAGCCACTCCTACCCAAGCGGAGTCCCCTATAGGCCTCCCTTGTAAGAAAGCATAAAAAAACTGACCCTGTAGCAGAAGGGTTTAGGGGCAAAAATGGGGTTGTTAATTGCAATAAGCCAGGGACTTGGGTTTTAATGGCATGGGGATTATTCACCCTGTGTAAGGCAGGAAGTTGAAACTGAGATGCTAGCAGAAAGCCAAACCACTTTAGGAACTAATTCTCAGTGAGCATGTGAAGTAGCCAAAGCTGCTCAGACAACAAGAATGTTTGCCTAATATTTAGCCCAGGTGAATTAAATGCAGTTCTGCTCTGTTCGAACTCTGGTTTGGGGTTTGAATTTATGCTTCCGGCTAGCCAAAATCTATACTAATAAAAGCGTAATATGCTAATTAGACCAGACAGACAAACGACCTTTCAGACGTCATTCTGGACGTCCTTCTGGACAAAGCCACGGTGGCAGAGGCCGAGGCAGAGGTGGTTAGGGGTGATCAGGCCAGCAGGGGAGCAGTTAGGGGCATCAGGCAGGCAGAGGTGGTTAGGGGTGACCAGGCAGGTAGGCAGAGTGGTTAGGGGTGATCAGGCAGACAGGCAGGCGAGCAGTCAGGCGAGCGGTTAGGAGCCAGCAGTCCCAGATTGTGAGAGGGGGTGCAGGCCGGGCTGAAGGACTCCCTGCCCCACCTCACCCCCCGCCACCCATGCATGAATTTCGTGCACCGGGCCTCTCGTATTAAAATAAAGTCCTGCTTGCAATACTTACAGACTGTTAGAAAGAAGTAAATGTAAAAACTGTCTGGAGGGACACACCTTTGAAGGAGGCCAATCAGAATTCCTGTAATAAGGCCATGACAAATGTGATTTCATAATCCCAAATTGTAAAACACACATGAAAATAATCCACCTAAAGCAAACATCAGCAGAAACGTACAGTCAAATTAGACTTCCAAGAGCTTCAGATAAAAACAAAACAGATACAAACTATAAAATAAGTGTGTTTAAAATGAATAAAGAAAACTAAAAGCACTTAAAAACATGAAAAAGAATAAAGTGATGTGTTTTAAAAGCTAGATTAAAAAATAACCAGAGTAGTTGTAGAAATTTAAAAATACAGTCATTAAAATTAAAAGGTAACAGATGGGTTAAACACAGCTGGAGAGAGAATTAGTAAACTGGAATGTAGTGCCAAGAAAACTACCCCCATGTATGTAACACAGAACACACTGGTGGAAATTCAGAACACCAACATAAAAATAACATTCTAAAATCTTCCAGAGAAAATAAAATAAACCATAGAGATTACCTATAAAGAAACAATACAAAACAATCTCATTTACAGTTGCATCAAAAATCATAAAATACCTAAAAATAAATTTAACCAAAGAAGTGAAAGTCTTGTACTCTGAAAACTACAAGACATTGGAGAATTAAATTGAAGAAGATACAAATATATGGAATGATGCACCTTGCTCATAGATTGGAAGGATTAATATTGTTAAAATGTTTTTACTACCTAAAGCAATATACAGATTCAATGCAATCTTATTAAAACACCAATGACATTCTTTCCAGAATTAGAACAACTAATCCTAAAATTTATATGGAACCACAGAAGATCCTGAATAACCAAAGAAATCTTGGGAAAGAACAAAATGGGAGGTATCATGCTCCCTCACATAAAACTATACTGCAAAGCTACAATAACCAAAACAGTATGGTATTGGCATAAAAACAGATATGTAGATTAATGGAATATAATAAAGAGCCCAGAAATAAAACCTCACTTAATGGTCAATTAATCTACAACAAAGGAGTCTAGGATATACAAGTGGGTAAAGACTGTCTCTTCAATAAATGGTGTTGGGAAAAGTAGACAGATACTTGCAAAAATATTTGGACTACTTTATTACATTATATATAAAAATAAGCTCAAAATGGATTAAAAACTTGAAGCCATAAAACTCCTAGAAGAAAACATAGACAATATATTCTTTGACATCAACACACACACACATATACACATACACACAGGAATATTATTCAGTAATATCTTTTTGGATATGTTTCCTTGGGCAAGGGAAACAAAAGAAAAGAATAAATGAGACTATATCAAACTAAAAAGTTTTGGCACAGCAAAGGAAACCATCAACAGAATGAAAAGACATCCTACTGAATGGGAAAAGGTGTTTACCAATGATACATCTGATAAGGGGTTAATATCCCAGATATATAAGGAACTCATACAAACTCACAAAAAATAAACAACCCAATTTAAAAATGAGCAGCAGACCTGAATAGATATTTCTCCAAAGAAGATACTACATAAAGGTGGCCAACAGACATATGAAAAGATGCTTACTATCATAATCATCAGGGAAATGCAAATTAAAACCACAGTGAAATATCACCTCACACCTTAGGAGATTAAGCTCCTAGCAAGTGTTTGATTTGTCCTCAACAAAACACGGCTTCAGCGTGTTCTTTGGTCTCAGATGTTAGAAGATGGGGGTGGGTGGGGAGTTCTGTAGGCTATAATCAATAAATCAACAAATAAGTACTGGTGAGAATGCAGAGGAAAAGAACCCTCATACATTGTTGGTAGGATTATAAATTAGTACAAACACTATGAAAAACAGTATGAAGTTTCCTAAAAAAAATAAAAATAGAGCTGCCATAAAATCCAGCAATTCCATTTATGGGGGTTTATCTGAAGGAAACAAAAACACTAATTTGAAAAGATATATGCACCCCTATGTTCATTGCAGAATTACTAGTTATAGCCAAGATATGAAAGTAACCTAGATTTCTATCAATAGATGGATAAATAAAGAAGATGTGGTACAATGGGATATTATTCAACAATAAAAAAGAATAAAATGTTGTCATTTGTGGCAATATGGATGAACCTAGAGGGTATTTTGCTAAGTTAAATAAATCAGGCAGAGAAAGACAAATACCGTATGATTTTACTTGTATGTGGAATCTAAAACAAAACAAAACAGAAACGGACCCATAGATGTAGAGAACAAACTGATGGTTGCCAAAGCTGAAGGGAGTGGGGGGATAGGAGAGAAATAAAATAACTCAGACATTTTTAAAAAGAAGCAATACAATAATCACATTAATAACAAGACTTTTTAACAATGGATGGAAGACAACAATGGAATGATATTTTACAATGATGAGAGGAAATAGTTTTGAATAGGATTTGAAAACCCAGCCAACTTCATTAAAATATGAGGGTTTTAAAAACTGAAGTATTTTTAGATATAATATCCCCAAGCTGGAAACCACCTAAGCATCCATCAACAAGTTAATGGAGACACAAATTGTGGTATATTCAGTCAAAGGAATACTACCCAACAGTAAAAAGTAACAATGTCCTGATACACATAACAACAGGGATGAGTCCAATGACATGCTGAGGGCAAGCAACTTGACACAAAAGATCACATACTGCATGGTTTATATGAAATTCTAGAAAAAAACCCCACCCTAATCTACATGATATAAATAGATCAGTGATTTGGAGGGTATGAGGAGAGAAGGTGGGGATAGGAAAGGTCACAAGGGACATTTCTTGGGGAGGTAGGATGGAAATGTTCTATAGGTGAGATGGTGGTTGTAAGACTTGTCAAAGCTCAAACTCTACAATTGATACCTGTTTCTTTTCACTGTATGTAGGTTTTTAATAAAAAAATGAATACAATTGCTTGTTTTTTAAATATATTTTTTATTAATTTCAGAGAGGGAGGGAGAGATAGATAGAAACATCAATGATGATGAGGGAGAAACTGGATTGGCTGCCTCCTGCACACCCCCGCCCCCTCCACTGGGGAGCAAGCCCACAACCCAGGCATGTGTTCTGACCTGGAATTGAACCGTGACCTCCTGGTTCACAGGTCGACGCTCAACCACTGAGCTATGGCCAGCTGGGCTGAATACAATTGTTTTTTTTAATTCACGTATTTATTCATGATTGTTTATACAAAAAAGATTTAGTTATCACTCAAACTAAAATCCCATATTATTCCCACTTGAGAAGTTAGCTGATCGACATGAAGTACACGTGTGCTAAAGAGGCTGTAATTAGCGATCGACTAGATGTTTGTAAGAAATATAAGCATCAATATTACCTTAAAAACCTAAGAGGGACCCCTCGAGCAGCGGTTCTCAGACGTTAGCAAATGTCAGATTCCTCTGGGGGGGACTAATGAAAACACACATTGTTGGGCACCACCCTTGAATTTCTGATTTAACGGGACTGGGGTAGGGCCCAAGAATTTACATTTCTAATAGGTTCCCAGGTGGTGCTGCTGCTGCGGGGTCAGGACCATAATTTGAGGACTACTATTAGAGAGCAATGGAAATAGAAGAGAGACCACTGGAGAGAGAAAAATAGAATCTTAAAAAAGTTTTGGGTTGTCCACAGCAAGTTTTGAATCCAGGTTTCACTACTTCCTAGCAGTGGGAGCCCTGGACACTTACCTTCCTGGAGTGTCTGGCTCATTCTTTGAGTCTCAGGGTCATTGTAAGAATTAAAGGCGATCAACATAAAGCTCTTAGCAGAGTCCCTGGTACAGAGCATGCCAGTCCCTGGTAAGGACTTTTGGCTGCCAGTGATGTGTTTATCCCAAGGTAGTGGCTATGGTATGGGATTGCAGATTAAGCTCCTAGCAAGGGTTTGACTTGTCCTCAACAAAACACAGCTTCAGCGGGTTCTCGGGTCTCAGATCTGTGTGTGTGGAAGAGGGGGGTTGGCTGGGGAGTTCTGGAGGCGAACAGTGAGGGACGGGGCCTGAAAGATGGCAACTGCCAATCCACCACCCAGCCAGTATTGTCCCCTACACCTTCCATTCAAGGATGAGCACCTATCTTAGAACTGACAGCAGGGCCCCTGACCTCTCCACTTATACTAACAGGTCACATACCTGAATGTTCTGCTTCTCAGCTGCCTGCGTGTCTCCACTTCTGAACGTATTTGCGTAAGTCTTTGCGGAGTCCCTTAGGTGACCTTTAAGGCTGGGAAGACTCATCAGCCAGAAGCCAATCTCTCTAGGTTGCAAGAACCTCTCCGGAGACAACACTGAAAAGTGAAGGTGCGGGTCCCTCAAGAGGCTTGGGTGTGAGATAAATCAGCCAGCGAAGAGCAAGCACAGCAGGGACCCCAGGCGTTTACCTGCCGTCCTCTTCCTCGTCCTCCGGGGCCTCTGACTGCGGGCAGCAGCCGGGCGCCTCACTGGTTCCCAGAAGCCGCAGCTCCTCAGGAGCAGGCCTGCCCAGCTCTGCCCTCTCTTCTCCGAGGGGAGAAGGCCTTTATTCAGCAGCAAGTGCCATCAGCTGGATGCTGACTCGGCTCCTCCGCAGCACCCACTCCTTCCCCGCCCTGTGACTTGCACATCTGGTCCCACTCTTGTGCTTGTAACAGGAACAACATATTCCACCACATTTGTTTCACCTGGAGACTCAGGAGGAAAGGGACCTGGAGTTCTTTCAACCACCAGGCAGCACAGGGCCTTGCTTCAGTTTTTACATAAATTGTGCTTCTTCTTCACGTTTGCTCCCAAAAGGCAGGCCCGGAGAGCAGGCGGTCACAGACTCTCATCCCTCCCAGGGCCACAAGGGTCGGATTGCTCTGGCCCCAGAGGGGGCCCATTTGCAGCCCCCTGTGGTAGGGAGCTGGCAGGGGTCACTCCAGACCACCTCTTCCCAAGGGCACTGTCCCTGCCTCTCCTCCAAGGACTCTAGGAGGACCCTTGCCAGTCCCACCCATAGAAATGGTTTCCACCAGACCTAAGGCATGTGTGACATTTCCCAGATTGGGCAAAATCTGTTGTCACCGTAAGAAACATTCAAATTTTTGTGAGTTTATTTGAGCCTAACTGTCAACAATTGCTGGGAAGCAAAAATCTCAATGGATTGAGATAATGTTCCAGAGAATGGCAGTTTTGCAGTTTATTTTATACGTTTTTATTACAATCAAAAGTGAAGACACAAGTGGGTTACATGAAATTCATTGGTGATAGGGTAGGGAGGTGGGAGAAAGCAAAGCGGGGAAACCTCTGGGATTGCATTAAAAAGTACAATAACAGACTTATGCTTCTTTTACTTAGGCGGGTGCAGGGTAGTTAATACTGTAGTTAACAGTTAACTCAATGACAATGAGGGGGTCTGTGGTCTCCACAGAGCGGTGCTGTGCTTTGAGGGGTCCGGAAAAAGGGAAATGACTTTGACATTCCAACGATATGTTATGGTAGATGCAAAAAGACAATAGACAGGCTCGGTTAAGGTAAAGATTGACCTTTGCCAGGGAAGATACGGGCCTAGGACATGACTACTCACCATTGACTGTTTTTATTTAAATTTTTAATTTCAGACCATCCTTTGTGGTTACTTTAGGTCTCTGAGTTTGCAAGGCTGCCCCGCAGACTTCCCCTGAGCCAGCCAGGTTAGCAAGTGGCCCCTTTTTGCCCACACTGTTTATTGTCTCTCTCCCTGAGATTAGGGGCCATTTCCCGTTTTACCACCATTTCCCGTGGGCCTAGGGCAAGGCAGATGAGGAATAAACAAATGTTTGTAGAGTTACTGCTTGTCTTGAGGTCAGGTGAGGGAGGGCCTCCCCGCAGCAGAAAGCCCCAATTTTCTGCGCACTCCATGGAAGGCAGGGCAGAAGGACTTTGACTGCCAGTGATGCTGTGAGTGACCAGCAATCTTTCTTTTCAAAACTTCAAACTGAACGAAAACATTGGTGAGTTAATCAATAAGATATTGGTCCATATACTCTCCCGCCATTTATCAACTGCTGTTTGATGTGTTAAAATCAATGGAGATGTGCCCTTTCAAAATGTTTATTACATAGTGTTTTGTTTCCAATAAGTGGTTTCACCCATGATTAGAATAACAATGGTGACCTTTCCTTACGCGTGTTGAGCCCTTGGCCAGGCTTGTTCCGTTGAACCCTCTTAACAACTTTTCAAGGGAGAAGGTGTCAGTGAATTCCCACTGGTATAAGGATGATGAAGAGGAGGGTCACAGAGCTTAGGTTCCTCCCCAAGGCACACAGCCAGCAAGAAGATGGTGGGTTTGAACCCAAACACTTTTCTCTCTGAACCATTAGGTCTTTGTTTTCTAATTGAGGAACATAATATTTACCTCTTAAGGCAATGGTGAGCATTAAGTTAGGTGATGTTTGAAAAGAATTTGGCACGGTGGCTCTCCAATTGTGGTTCTATCAGAACCACATGGTAAACCTGCTTAGAAGACGGAGGCCAGTGCCGACGCTACTTGAGGGATCCTGGGCCTCTGTGTGCCTTATCAGCTCCCAGGGGATTCTGATACCCACCAAAGTGACAACCATCAGTGCAGCACCTTATACAGGGTGGGAAAAAAGCAGGTTTACAGTTGTGAGTACACAAAACACAGAGTTTATTCTTGCATTATTATTTATGAATTATTGTATTATTTTGCATAGGAACAACTGCAGACCTACTTTGGCCCCACCCTATATCCACAAAAACATGGAGGAGCTAGAAAACAAGCAAGCTCAACATTCCCCTGAGGTCCAGGTGTAACGAGAGAGCAGAGGGTGGCCAAAGATGTTGGGCCAGAGAAAGCATCATGGTCCCCTCCGTGCCCCATCTTCTGCGGATGCTGCCCCCTGGACTTGGGAGGGCCAGGCCTCAGGAGCTGGCATTCGTCATGCCCATGACCACATGGCTGCCCTTGTACCAAGAGGGGCCCCGAGGCGGCCACTGGCAGCCTGCCTCTGTGTTCGGGCCACTGCGGGCTGCCGGTGAGGACCACCTGGTTCTGCTGCTCTTCTTGACTGTGCAGTTTGCCTGCTTGTGAGTCTGATTGAATGTTTCTCAACCAGAGCCCCCGAGGCTCCCGGGGCCAGGCCAGCCTGTTCCCCCTGCTGACAGAGGTGAGACCCCCAGACCCAGAGCCCCGCCCGGGCCCTGAGTAAATGTTTGGTGCTACCCCGGCCGGGGTAGGAGCCCTCAGGTTTGTCTCCACCTGGAGACTCAGAAGGAAGGGGACCTGGAAAGTTCCTTCAGCCACCACGCAGCACTGGGCCTTGTTTTCATTTTTATAAAATTGTGATTCTTCACTTTTGCTCTCAGAAGGCAGGTGAGGAGAGCAGGAGGTCACAAACCCTCATTCCTCCCAGAGCTACTGCTCTGGCCCAGCAGGGCCCTCCCCACCCTCTCCCACCCCCTCACCCACACTTAGGAGGAGGTAGGGAGCTGGAAGCGGTCACTCCAGGCCACCTCTTCCCAAGGGGCTGTCCCCGCTTCTCCTCCAAGAACCCCTGGACTGCCTTTGGCAACTTCTTCCCATGACCTTTCCTTCCACCCCACCTAAGGCGTGCCTGACATTTCCATTTAATAGACCTTGGAGACATTTTCACATCAGCACATATTGTCTACTTCATTCTTATTTACTTATCTCTTCCTATTTCATTGCATTTTGAATGGTAACATATTCACATCGTTTGAAATTCAAGTAGTATGAGAAATTATACGATGAAAAGGCTTGTTCACCTATGCTCAGTTCCCATCGCTGCTACTCCCAGACAAGAAACCATTTGTGTGAACTTGTGTCTTCCAGAGTTTCTTGATTGCACTTAAAGTCACATATGAAGGTGTTTTCTTCCTCTTGCCTTTTTATCCAAACGGGAACATGTAACAAACTTGGGTGCACATTTTTCTTTTTCCTTCTCTTGGCCAACTTTCCACATCAATACAGAGAGAGCGTTCTCATTTTTTTCTGACTGCTAACAAGTACCATCATTAATGTAGCCAGTCCTGAGTGGAAGGCCGTTTGGGTTGTTTACTATTACTTGTAACTACAAGCATGGCTCTTCTGATCTAGCTTGTACATGTGGTTTTGTGCCCATGAGAACATATCAGAGTGGTTTCCACGTAGGTTTTCAATGTATTAGAGTTCTTGTGTTATCATGTTCTTGGCAACCCTGTGTATTAGCAAATCGTTTAAAAAAATTGTTCTCTTTCAAGTAAGTACATAAAAACGTATTTTTACAGTTTTTAAATGGATTTCTTTTATTATAAGAACAAGTGAACATATTTTCAAATAATTGTGAACCCTTTTTTCTTTTTCTGTGAGCTGTCTTTTCATATCCTTTGTTCATTTGAAATTGGGTTGTTAGTCATTTTTATTGATTTATAAAGACCTTTCTATACACTAAGGAAATTCATCTGGCCATATAACTGTTATAAATATTTCTCTCAGTTCCTTGTTTGCCTTTGACCTTTTTTGATTACATTTTCCTGCCAAATTTTTCTCAAGACAGTATCTGCAGATAGTATAAAAGTCTAAGAACTACAAGTTATCAGAGAGAAAGCCACAGCCCCTAAAAGGCATCACTTGCTGAAAGTCCATGACACCAAATGTAGATTTAATACCTGATTTGATTGCAGTTTCAACCTCTCTCTGGAATATAATCTTAAACAACCAACCTGGAATTTTTTAGTCAAGCACCAGTCAGGTAAATTGTCACCTGGGCCCAAAGGAGGAAGAGGTGGCTTACATGACAAAACCCTTGCTATTCTCTTCCTCCCAAAAGAAGATGTTCTGGTCTAAAAATAATCGTTTATTTGCTTTTGCTAATAACTTCCCTGTCATATCCTTCTTCCTATAAAAAACTTCCATTTTGTCCAACCCCTAGGAGTGCTCTTCTGGTGGCTACAAGGGATGCTACCTGATTCACGAATCACTGAATAAAGCCAATTAGATCTTCCCACAAGCAACTGTTTTTTGCCATGTTTAGCTGTTTCACTGGCACGTGCCTCCACATTTCTAAATAAGCATATATCGCTTTTCTTTATTGTATCAATTTTAGACATTTTCTATTGATTTTTGTCAATGATGTTGAAGATTTAGCGTGCTATACCTCCTTCCCTTCCCTCTCCTCTATTTGCTCTCTCTCTATGTAGATTATCCAATTTTTGGTTAGGTCAATATTTAGTGTTTACATTCTTCAACTATTTAAATGTTGTTTATAATTGAGCTGAATAATGTATTGTGATTAGATTTCCATTCCGGTACAGATCTTTCCTGGAGTTAACAATCGCCTCTGTTTGTTTTTTGTTGTTCGCTTGCAATTGTTAGTTTTGGTAGGTCCAAAACAGTTGAATATTATCAGTTTCATATGTTTCAACTTCAGAGGTTCAGAAGGAGTCACCCCAAGATGTGCCTCTGTGGGATGCAGATTGTTTTGAGTTAGTTTCTCTGAAGGCTCA